TCTGGAAACACACATTTGAAAAAAAATTGAGCTGAAGGTGTCAGGTCGACCGCTGCCGGACATATTTATAGAAACACAGGGCGTTAGTCTAGGTAAGGGCTATACGTGGCATTTCTGCAGGGAGATTTACACCAGAAATGACTGGATTTGTGAGTGCAACAGGAAGAATGCCCTTTTCTGCTTTCCTTGCATACTTTTCGGCGGTAACAAAGCTTGGATGGAGGTAGGTGTTACAGATTTAGTGCACCTGAGTGAAAAAATTAAGAAGCATGAAAACTCTAAAACATATCTTCATAATTCAATGGAATTGGCTTTATTGGGGACTGTTAACATCAGAGCTCAGATAGATTCAGCATATTGGAGAAATTACAACAGCATAATGATACCGTTACAAAAAACAGGTACGTTCTATCAAAAATAATCGATGGTCTTTAATTTTGAGCATTTGAATTGGCGTTACGGGGCCACAACGAAACCGAGAGCTCCCAAAATCCGGGAATATTTCGTGGACTGATTAATTTTTCTGCTAGGCTTGATACATCCTCAAGCGAAAACATAAAAGATGGTTCATAATTTAAAGGAACTTCGCAAGAAATACAAAACGATCTACTGGATTGTATTCTTGAAGTTTGTCATGAAGAAATAATAAAACAGATTAACAGAGCCTCGTATTTGGTATTGCGGTATTCACCGTATGTTAAACGATTCTGTTTTCGTGTTTTGGTTGACATTTTTTCATCATGTCATGCCTCACGTCGACATTTTGTTCAACCAGTTGCAGAAGAGAAAAACCGAGCCAGCGCAAGTTAAAACGGCTATCGATAATTTTGAAAAATGTATTGTCGATGTGAGAAATAAAATTGATGACATAATAAATGAAGCCAAAAGTATTTGCACTGAACCCCAAGGCAACAAAAGGAGACGACGTAATAATAGCAGTCACGATCACCGAGTTGCTGCATTAGAAGTATGCGACAATATAGTGGATTCTGCAAATGACAGATTTCAATTCAAAGATCATTTGGTAGCCGCATCCCCTTTTTCCCCGAACACTTTGAAGAATACTGTGGTAAGTTTCCTGTTGACAACTACCTGCTTGGCTTATCCCGAATTAGAAAAAAGTCGTTTAAAGACAGAGTTATCTGTTATTTATGCACGGAATGATTGCCGAGATTTACATGGAACTCTGTCTCTTTTGAAATTTTTGATACAAAATAGTTTGGGGGAAACACTAAAAGAAACAAAAAAGCTATTAGTAATTATTGTTACAACTCTAGTAGATGTCTTATGGGGATTCGATCTCAGTAGTTCCAAAATCCGCCACCAGAGGCGCTGGCGTCGCGCGCCATTGACAGGTTGTTGGACGGAATCTGTAATCGAAATTCATGAGTTGGGGATTCCGCCGCTAGATGGCGCTGTCAAACCAAACGGAATCTGTGTGTCATTGGACACCTGTCATGCGTCATTGGGCATCTCACGCATAGATGGCGTTAAAACGTCATCTGTCATACGTCATTGGACACCTGTCATTGATGGGTTGGGCATCTCGCGCATAGATGGCGCCGATTTGTTTGGCGCTGTACAAACCAAACGGAATCTATGTGTCATTGGACAGCTGCCATTGATGGGTTGGGCATCTCGCGCATAGATGGCGCCGATGTCGCACCTGTCTGGTGTTGGCGTGGATTACGGGGGGCAACGTGTATACAGGGGTGCATCGAAAAATAGCGGATCGATGGACCGACGGTATATCGTTAAATCGTATATAGCAAGGCGTGACCTAAATAGCGTGGTGGGCTCCTCTGGTCGGTCGGTCGGTCAGAATGTCTCATAACCTGTATACGATGTACTGTTATTATTATACAGGATGATACCGTTCAAAATGAAAATAGTATAGACATTCTGACAATTATTTCGCAAACCAGAGGTATTTTCAATAAAACTACAATAATACGTTTAATATTTTATTGAAAATAGTAAAAACTACATAGGTAATATGATATTTGAAAACCAGTGGCGTAGACGTTCAACATTTCTCTGGGTACAGGAAAATTGTCCGTTGGTGTGGCATGGATTGGAATCAGCAACAAAGTTTCCAGTAGCACACGGTGTACCATCATACTTGCAAACATCAATAATGTTGGGAAAAACACCAAAAATGTGACATTTCTTGAGTAAAAAGTTTGCTTTCTGTTCTCCACGAACGTAGACATAGTCAGCCGCATATATCACCTTATTTTTAATTATTTCATTTAACTTGGAATATTTAACGTCGCCGGAAGAATATTTAAGCCCATGGAAATTCTTCTCCAAGTAAGCGACAGTTTTCTTGTCTTTAGTATTTAATGTAGAAAAAGGTTGCGGAGGTGTAAAGATGTAATGACTTTTCTTGAAACCAATTTCGATACATAGTTCTTTAGGTACGAATAATCCGTCAACTGTAAAGCCTTGAATGTCAACAAACGCGATCCTCATGATGTCTGATGCGGAACTGAGAGTCCTTCGTTGCTTACGAGATGGTTTTAATAACTTCGGTGAGGGGGAAGTACTCGATTAAGCAGTCATGTATAATGATGCAGTAGGCCTTGGTGTTGGAAAGCCAGTATCGCCTTCGATATCCAATCTAACATCAACAGTTGATGATTTCATGGTTTCCTCTTGTTTGGAACAGTCAATAACAAACAAAGCGCGATTTTTAAAAGCGGTATAATCTAAAAGACATCTCTTCAGAGGAGAAGAAGAAGTTGTATAGCTGGTTTGAAAGTCGCTGTAGTTGAAATGAGCTTCAGTAAAGTGATTGTTTGCAAAGTCCAATTGCATACGTTCGTTGGGATAGTATTCACCATTCAAAGATACTCGAATACTAGCAGCATTCACGTGATCAAACAGGGTCGGGTCTGAGGTTGCGACGTCACGTTTACCGGTTTGGAAACATACTATAATGAAACGTGGTCTTTCGATTGCGGTGCTAGTTTTAACTGACCATATTTCTCTTCTCGCATCTGCGGTAATTGCAGGCAGTTCATTCAGATCCCATTTTCTAAATGGTATAAGTATCGGCTTATCAGTTTGAATAGCTTTCAAAAGTTGTTCTTTCACATCATCACTCGGGTAAATATGTTTGATTTTCAGTTCCATGCTTTCAATAGTTATTTTCGCTGTCGTCGTTCCAGTGTTTTCCTTGATAATGATACAATCGTTATCGTTTCTAGCTCTCACAAATCTGAGAGTTTGTCTGCCACACGTAATCATAGGATAATCATTGAAAATGTTGAAAATATGTTTAAGCGGCATTAGCAAGCTAAAAGACTTGTTATGTGTTGACGCCATTATAGGTGTTGAAGGATAGTTCCATCCAGCTATAGCCATATGATTTGAGTCTTCCTCACTGTAACATACTTAAGCTCGGACAGTACTTACAATACCAGGATCACGTACTGTTTCAACTTCTCTAGCGGATTCACTGTAAGTGCAAGAGTCAAATAGGAAGGCACCAAAGTTTGGAGCTAAAGATACATCTCCTGCTCCTCCTCCAGTTATTTCAACTTTCCCTTTGATAGATAGAAGGGAAGCGTTCATTGCAAAGAACGAATCTACTTGATTGATGCTAAATTCCACAACATCATTACAATTAAATGACTTGATGAACGGCGTATAATATCTATACTCAGCCTTGCGAATAGATTCATCGAATGCTGGAGATCGATATAGATCAAACATCGGAGAAGTATGTGATGCTGCCTCCTCAGTTTTTCTCTTTTTGTACATGATTCTTGTTGTTGTTGACATGATATCCAAGTGAGCGTAGAAACAGGATATTTGATGTAGTTAGTAGTAGATGTCGTCGCTTAGGTGCTTGGGGTAATACTGAAGTTGCCTTGGAAGCACCACTATGTCTTATAATCACTAATCCCATCTGCGCTTCGCTCTCAACTCCAACACAAGAGTACTAGTTTCACCTTGAAAGTTATAGGACGACCGTCTTGATCTAAAGCCAACACTGTGATGTTGGTTATTTCTTGTTTCGGTATAACAGGTAGATATAGTAAATTTACAGGTGTTTCGACTATAGCGTATCCAGGATCGGCTGTCACAGCAAATTCGTAGATCGTGTGTGCAGGCGTGTCTCCGTCAAAGGCTCCCGACGTAATGTTAGCATCAAAGTGTATGGTTGATACTTTTATTATGTTTACAGGTAAATCAGAAGAATGCTTTTGACCAGGATTAAGAACTTTTTTCGAGAATCCCAATAGATGTCCAAGATTATTCGGTTCTGTAAAAACTATTTTATAATACTTGCTAAAGATTTCACATTGCAGTGTATTATTGTTAGGTTTTAGAGAAAAATAATCATCCGGAGGAGCAACTTCATTTTCAAGATTCATTTGCGTTCGTATAAATGTTTCTATGTCGGTAATTTCATAACAACCTGTCGGAAACTCGATGACTTTTAATTGACCACCACCACCACCTATCCGGTCGATATAATAAAATTTATCTCCTTTTTCAATATTCGGTATGGAATTGTATGAAGTAAAAGACCTAAGCGCCAATTCATAATCTTTTTTCGGATCCAACACTATCGGTGTTGAAGGACGAAATGAAAATATATGAGTAGTGCTATTGACTCTCAACAACTGCGACATGATGAATGAAAAAATATAGCTGTGTACTAAGCATTTATTCAAGTTTTTTTTGTTTATTTTCGAATGGATAATTTACAGAAATAACAATTTGCTTGAGCAGTAGCCGGTCCATCCCAATGTGTTGTCCAATCAGGTCTGTTGTAGTGAACATAGCATGGAAGTCGTATTTGAAGATCAAAATTGGATGTGTATTCTGCAGGCAGTTTGTGCCATATACTCAACAATTCTGCAGGTCTCACATTGCTTATTAAATATTCCAGCGGTGGAATATTCTTCTCAAACTCTTCTAATGTAAATTCCGATAATGTTTTATTATCCATCGTTGTTGTTGTTATTGTTATTGTATAGAAATTTCAAACACAATTGTCCGCAATTAACTTGATTATAAGTTTGGTAAGGATCGTTGTTGTAGAAAATTTTAGCGTTTTTCAGATATCGAACAAGTTCCTGTGGAGGCTTCAGGTTACCAAATGAATCGAAATACTCAACGTTGTTGTTTATCTTTTTATAAGCTACCCAATGAGTTCCGTTGTTTTGTGAAATATCTAAGTTCACGACGGCGCATTCTCTTTTACGTGGACCGTCTCGTGGTAAAGTGTCACGCATGAAGACACCTCGGAAATGAGGTATGTTCAAGAGCTTCGCATATTGCTTTATTTCATAATCATAAAGCGCTTTCTTGGGTAGCTTGATGTTTAGTTTTTTTGACTTTTTTTTTTGAGGTACAACCCATAACCACCTTTAGCATTTTTTCTCAAATACAATCCTTTGCCCAAAGACTCCATAGCTTTGTTATGGCGATGGTCTTCCTCCAATTTCTTTTGTGCATTCTTGGCCACACCTGCAGCTCCCCCTGCGAGCGCCCCCAAGGCACTTAATCCGGCGAAAAGGGGGATCAAGGGTAGGAATCCCCCAGATTTTCCTTCGATCGGAATTATTCTCGGTAATCGAACTTTATGTTTTCCACCTGCACTCTTCACCGCTAATCTTGCCGCTTTAAGAGCAACCAATGCAGACTTTTTTAATGTCGTGGTGGTGGGAGCATTTTTCTTCAAGGACTTTGTGATTTTCGTGAGAACACCTCGTCGAAAAGATGATTTCTTCTGCCCCATACCCAATTTTCGCTTAACTTTCATTGCGGTAGTGGTTAGCCAAGCTGCAGTCTTTTCTCCTAGTGAAGCGTCAGGTGCTTTTACACGTTCCCAGGCTCGGTTCTCAAGAATCCAATCAGCTTTGTGTCTGTCTTTAAAATTTTTGTATAAGGCGTATGCAATATCGTGGTCTCTTGCAGCACGATCCAATGGGTTCTTTCCAGGATCTCCTCGTGCTAACCTCTTCTTTAATTTAGTCCCCGCTGAAAATATACATATACATGTGTGAGAATGGAAAAAAAATATCCTAATCTGTCGCACACTTACGTCCCAGGAACTGATACGAAGGTACGTGGAGTTCTATCGGAAGATTATTTATCAGAGAGTTTACAACACCTTCACCCTTGTACGTTAACATGAGAACTGTTGATGATGCGTTAGCAATATCTACATATATACTTTTACACATTCCTTATTCGAACGCCACACGATGAAGGTTGTTCAACAAGAGCAGTCATTACCCATTGATAACTTGGATTTTACAGCAAAAACTCAACATAGTAAACATGGTAAATTGTTACCGAATTCGTTTCGCGCTATCATCTGCGGACCAAGCGGATGTGGAAAAACGAACGTAATGCTGGCGCTGCTTTTCCATCCAAACGGTGCTAAGTTTAAAAATGTTTACGTTTATTCAAAATCGTTGTATCAACCAAAGTATCAACTGCTCCAAGAAGTGATTTCCGCTGCTAAGGGTGTTGGCTATTTCCCATTTAAGGATAACGAGGAAATTATAAGTCTAAGTAAGGCTAAAAATAGCTCTATATTCATATTTGACGACGTGTCGTGTGACGGTCAGCAGAAAATTCGAGAGTATTACTCCATGTGTCGTCATAAAGATATCGATGCTG